GTTGGGTAACGCACTTACCAACAGCCGTGTTAGAACCCCAGGGATTAGATATCTTGGGAAGTGTAAATGCGCTAGCTTGCCTTAAAATTAACTATACGGGGACCAATCACACTCGCACAGTGGTTGACGTTACAGCCGGATTGCCCATCTGCCGTAACGAGTCAGCATGGTGCAACTTTACCTCTGTTAATATATCAAAATCTACAAATGCACCATTGATGTTGCCAGCCGGCGTATTTCTCATGTGTGGCAACAGAGCTTGGCAAGGCATCCCCTCGCATATTGCGGGAAGACCTTGCACTTTGGGAAGGTTGATGTTACTGACCCCTAATACATCTATGATCTTGAATATTACCTGTTTTGTTTATATTAGCTTTAATTCTTATAATATCGCGCTGTGTAACCGATATGATAAAGAAGGATACATATGGAGTTTGGATAGCACAAAACAAAAAAGTGGGAATTAAGTATGTGCTGTATGAATTTAAGCGACAGCTCACAAACGGTGTATCAGCAATTAAAGAAGTTAGAGGAGCTGTTGAGCAAGTTAACAGTAAGTTCATGAGGGTTAGATTCATGGCTAAAATGATTAGGGGTGACCGGATGGGTGACGGAGTTAATAAGAGAAGTGTTTGTGTTTTTAATTGTATTTGTTGTTATCTTATCAATTGTGCCAAGTTTATTGCAATTCTTGCAAAGGATGGTCATTCATTCAATGCGTACTACTTGGCTGGTCGAAACAAAAACAAAAGAGGGAATTGTAGGTGACTCGTTGGGGGATGATGTGGAGCTGTTTAACACAGCAGGCTCCAGGAGCTGGAGAGTCCAATAGAGACTTGCGTGGCCAGCGCGTGGACAGGACCAGGTAAACCAGTTAGAATCTAGTTAGGTATTCGTGTTAGCCTCGTGTAGCATGTACTGTCTGCCTAGAAGCTATATATATATCCTGTGTTATCACAATAAAGGATTCCACTTGCACACTTACTCTGGAGTCCGTACCTTCATTCCCTCACATAACCATGCCCTGAACTGGCTCAGACCCACTTCACTGCATAAGCCAGAAGCACTCTGGTATGGCATATAAAGTTAACGGAGCCTCAGTGATATTCTAACTGCAAATATTAATTCACTCAGTATTAGCTTTAGCAAAGATGAAGAAAAAAAGGCATCTTCTCTATCATCACCTTTCCCCAAAGCAGGATGTTGTAATGAAAGAAAAAAAGAGAGGTTTTATGATATTGAAAACTGAGGTTAGAATAGGTCGGGGGGCTTTTTTGGTTTGGTTGGCAGCATGAGTCACACCCATGCTTTTATGAGACTCCTGAACGCCATGCCTGATGGACAGGCATTTGAATTTGGTGGCTGTTGTGTTCTTCCAGGGACCACTGGCTCCTGGTGCCAATTCAGACATTACAGTTCACTTGCCTTACCTCAGGATGAACTTCTGTAGGCAGGAATCCTTTCTCATCATGCACGTGCCATTACAAGCCTTGTGGTACTTTCCATTTAACCAGGAAGGTGACTTGAAAGTCCTCCCCTGCTCCTCTCTAGCTCTACCAGAAGTGACCACCCCGGCACCTAGCACAGGGTAGAAGCATCGCTGCTCCCAGCATGTTCCCATCTGGGCTGTACCCTCACCACCTTCTACCCATCTCTAAGTGTTTTAAACAGCAAATAGAAGCAGCCTCTGCTCTTCCAGTGTAAAGCAACACCTCTGAGGGCTGTAATCTATACCTATGCCCACAGCTCTACAGCAAAGGAGCACAAGCAGCCCTGCACTTCAATCACCAATAATGCAAACAACCTTTCCAGCAGGAAGGGTGGGTGCAAGGTGGGGGGGGTTCTCTGGACCTTGCTAAGAAGTTTTTCGTAGAAGCTTCCCCAAATCTTCTGCAAGGTAGAGACCTTGCAGACCTCCCCAGGCAGCCCCAGGATATCTGAGACGACCTCCCCCCCGGCTTCCTCACCACACTGAGCCTCTCTACTGCCCATGCTCCAGGCAGGAAGGCTGCCTGGCTCAGACTTTCTAGCAAGAAAATTATTAGGTTTAAATGCCTCGATAGCTAGGTTAGCCAATTCTGCAAGACTCCCTGTCATTTCAAATTGCCTTGGTATGTTCATAGCCCTCCTCTCGACATGATTTGGTGATGCTGTCACAAACCACTGGACTCCTGGATTTTATCCCAACATCGATTTGTATTTGTACAGGGATGCCTTGCAAATGCACCTTCTTCCAGGTAAGTTTCTGCTCTGTCACCGCAGCGACTGAAGCTTTTCATTTTAAATTTCTCTCATCTCTTTGTCTGTGATCCCTATTCTTTCCCAAAGCTGCCCCCATTGGAAGGTCTGAGTCCACCCAATGAAACTGGTGAACCGAATTTAAGTACAGATGTGTTTTTACAGTGTTTGGGTAATATTTTTAATCAGGGAAGCATTCGCTTGTCTCCACAAGGTCAAGTTGTGCTTGTGGGGATGCCTTTTTTTCTCCAGCAAGATGACTGGCAAAGCACTTAGATTTTATTAGCTGAGGGGACAAACCTCCTCCTCCATGAGCGCTTCCCTCTTCCCCTTTCTGAGTATTTTCCATGTGTTTGCACTGTTCTGGTTTAGGTCAGACACAAAGCCAACTCCACGGTCCTTAGCTGACATAACCTGCCACAGGCATTTGTCATACTGCTCATGCTATGTCACAGATTTGTCATCTCACCCAGACCTTCCTAGTGTCCCACAGGCTCTACGAAAACCATGAAGCTTGGTGTGGGGGCTTTGGGCCCACTTTCCGGTGGTGCTCCATGGGAAATCGCTTCCTGCTACCTTAGGTATGATGTTTCCCTTCACTTTCTCTTCACAGGATCAAAGTCATCCCTAAGGATGCATACAGTGTGTATAGCACCCCATATTTACTGGTTCAATAAGTAAAGAGGGTGTTTGGTTTGCCTCCTGAGTACGTGAATGTTGCTGTTTTGCAGAGGCACAGTGAGGTCCAAGGACAGACGGACAGGATTCTGCAGTGAGGCTGCTGGAAAACTGGCAATTCAGCTCAGGTATCCTCAGTCTCAAGATGCCTTCTGATCTATGCTCTATTGGGAAAGCTTCCTGCCATCCTTTGAAATCTCAAGATAAATGAAAAAAAAAAGGGCCATGTGCTCCTAAATGACTCGTGTCATACAAATCTTCAAAATTTAACATGTGTCCCCTTTGTAAATGGATTTTTTAAAAAAATCCCTCTGTACTTCATCCTGAGTTTGATTTGTTTCACACGCTTTGCTTTTGCTACGCCTCTCCCTCCATTGCAGGGAACACAAGAACCTTAAGTCACCGGCCAGGGTTGCCAGGCCCCCGCCAGCCCAGGGTGTCTGTGGCAATGACAAACATGTCAGTACAGCTAGCCATCACCATAGCAAATAGAGCTTTTAATGTGCATTAAAGCAAGTAAATAAAAAGTGGAAATTATTTTAAGCTTTTTAGAGTGTTAACTTTACTTGCACTGCCTCGAAGGGATTTGAGACTATAAATATTTTTTTTACAGGTCTAGCTCTTTTCTTACAAGACTTGACGATGCTGTGCAATATGCTTCCCCTTCTCCTCAAGCCAGGTAAAATACTGAATCAAATAAAGCAGCCTGCCCCATCCTCCCTCTCTGGCAAGAGTCCATCTTCTGGACTTTGGGATTTCAGCTCCCTTTGCCTAACAAATGGGATGGGTGAGGAAACTATACCTTGAATGAAGGGGATTTCTGCATTTTTAGCTGTTTACGAAATTGTTGTTTCATGGTCAAGTGAAAAGCTTCCCTTCCCACCACCCAGAGAGCCCTATTACTGCAAGTGTGACGGGTGCCTAGGTGGGAGCTTGAGCTGGTTTTGGTAAACCTCCCGTACCACCAGTAACCAGTGCACTGTAACTAACCAGTTACCGCTCCTGCACATCACACGGGCCTTTTCTGTGCTGCAAATGAGAGGACGCATCTGTTTTCTCTGTGTTTATTGCATTACACTGAAGCAAAACGGCGTGTAGTTATTTGCAGTTATTAGCTGATGATTTCACCACGTCTAAGGAATACAAGGAAAAGCAATTAAATAGTTCAGGACTCGGTTACCACTGAAAGGAGGCTCAGGCCCTGTGACAGAACAGGATGAGGGCAGAGCCGTAGAAACCGCAGGCTGAGCTGAGCCCGCCACGCTGCCCGCTCAGCGGGGCAGCAACCTCCCTGGGCTGGATGCCTTTTGAGCAACACGGGAGCTTGTGAGCTCGGTACCATTGCCCTCTCCCAGATACCTGGCGAGAACAATTTGTTGGGAGTAGCACCGTGAGATCCACGCACTGGAGATGTTCATCCCTGCCCTGAGGGACTCAGTGGTGACCACATTCAGCGTTGCCATCCCTTGTGCTGAAAGTTGCTCTGACAAACCTCTCCCCAGGTTGGGGAACTCCACTGGCTCATGCAGGATGGGACTCTGCCCGTGTCTTTCCCAGACCAGTCTTTCTTGTACACCGCTCCCCCCCATTATTTTAGTTCAAACACAAAACAATGCCTGTGCCTCTTAAATAATGACCTCTACAAAGACCCTGGAGATGCTTCAAAATGGCGTCCTGCCCATCATTCATGAGAATAGAGAGGTGGTAGCTGAGATCAAGAGCTGCTGGTGCCTCTCTGGGCTGGTGCTGCTGGAAGGAGCGAGTCTTCCTCTCAGGAACAGCAAGCGTAAAGTCATCATCTTAAAATGTAGTCTTCAAGGACGGTGGCCAGAGGAACCCACCTGGAGCACTGAAGCTGCAAAGCTCATCAGGATTTGTTGGTTGGCTTTGATGTATCTGCGGGTTTTATTTAACTGTAGAAACTCAGTTTGCTAAGGAAATTATTGACAGTTATATCTACAATATATAAGCCTTTTTCTTGCTTTTTTTTTTTTACTTTTTCATTCTTCCAACTGTGGCTGGAGGCTCCAAAGCAGCAAATTAGTGCCGATGAGATGTTTGAAGAGCCTGGAGGTTGCACATCCTCACCAACCCGCCTCTTTGTAGACGTTGTTCAGGTGAGCGCAGATTTCATTGGTCACCTTCTCAAAAGAAGCTTTGCAGTCTCCGCCAAATTTCTCCTCCATCAGTTGCAAGATAATGTCACAGATAATCTAAACAAGGAGAAGGGAAGAAACAACCAGTGTGAAGCGTAAGAGCAAAATCCATATTTTTAGTTGGGATTCTTGGAGAGTGAAAGGGGGGGGTGCAAAACCAATTCAGGAGCATATAGCACGCAGAGCTGGAATCATGGAAAATTAGGTGCATTATAGAATTCACAAAAAAATGCAGTCACTGTTGGTTTTGGGCTTTTTTTTAACTATCCTGTATCTAGTTAATGTTGACTGCATCCATATACACAGTCACTTAGAGACTGCTGTACAGCACTAGTTCACTTGGTCTATCTACTGCAATCCTTCTCCTGGCAGTGGGCTGTCCCAAATGTTTAGTGGCCACAAGGAGCCCCATGTTGGGCACCTATGGAATACACGTCCTAACCTTTCCTGCCTGCTAGCTATCTAGCGCTCTGTAGCAATGAGGGTTTTCTATGTCTTTACAGCTGCTAGGTAGGTGGTATACTTTGAAGCACCAACTCCTTTTCCATGCAGCATGTATTATTTTGTGGCCATCCTCTCCCTGAAAAAGTCTTTTCAGGCTCTCTCCAGGCAGAAATCCTCACTTATTCTCCCACTTACTGAAAACTGGGCCTACTGCTTTGGAAACCACCTTCCTGGTGCCTGAGTGACCTTTCCCAGAAGGTGCCTCGTTTTGCAATTTGTGCTGTGTAAGGCAGACAAAATCTTTATAAATCCTAGGGACCTTAGGTGGACTTGGGTAAGTCCTTTGATCCTGGATTTATTATCTGTGTTTGTTTCCTGATGGCAATGCTGTTGCCATCGTTGCTCAATGACAGCTGGTTTAGTTGTCCTAGAAAAACTCAGTTCCTGTTAATAGAGAAAAATAGACATCAAGGACAGAAGTCCAGTGTTATGTGCTTTTCTGTGTCTTGTTATTAAATGACAAGCGTGGGAGCCCTGTTGCACTAAGAAAACCCGCTACAGCTCACAGGCAGCTCTGCAGCTCCCACCTGGGCAGCCCTGCCTGCGTCGCATCTGCTACACAGTCTTCTTCCCAACAATGCCAGGTCTCTCATCCCTGCTCGTTTCCACCATCAAGCGTCTCACTTTCCAACATCTCCACTCTCTGAAGCACATATATAGTTATATATACAAAGACTGAATTCCTCGATTCCACCCCTCCAAGGGGAAGACATCCTCCCATCACAGTTACACCCCCTTGGAAGATGGCTGCTGGCTCACCCTAAAGTTTTTGGGGTCAATCTTGAGTTGGGTGGCATGTTTCTTGCCGAGCGGGTTCACTATGCCAAGAAAAGCCTCAGAGTTGTCCAGGTGTTGCACCATGTCATTGATGGCGGTGAAAACCTTCTTGCCGTGGCCCCTGACCTGATCCGACTGTTTCATCTCTTCGGCGGAGTCCATGCCTTTGAAGTGTGTGAAGTAGGACTTGGTGTCTGGGTGCTCAGTAAACATCCTGTTGAGAAATGAGAGATGTCCTAATTTGTGGACCGAGGCATCAATGACAATAGGGCTTCACATTCCAGGCCTTGTCTTACCCATTTATTGCCTTTTTTCCCTTCTCTTTATTAGAACTGACACCTCTTTCCCCTGGATTTCTTAGTTCTCCTTTGCCCTTGCCATCTGTGCACAGCCCCTGTGCCCACGGAAGCCTGTCCCCTTCCTCGCCTCTCCCCAGGGCACTTTCCTTTGCTCACTCCACATTAAAACCTACCTGTCTTGAATTTATTCTGCTGCTTTTAAAGTAAACATTTCCTCAGTGTTAACTCAGTGTTAGGTAGAGATAAAATCCACACAGAAGTGGGAGCACGTTCACACGGGGTGAATGTAACAGCACGATATTCTCAAGAATCTTCTGGACAGCAGATATGTCCACTGTGCTCTCAGTGGGTGTTTTCATGGAGAAATCCTACTGTTGGTTTTGTTAATTAACCCCTTCCCAGAGTCTATCCCAAAGGTTTCTTACTGCCTGGGATGGATTATTTTTTGAGTACCAGGTACTGCTCATTTCATTTACTCAAAAGTCACATGATTCAATGTCACTCATAAAGGAATTGCCTTTTATAATGCATCGATTACAATGGTCTTGGTCAAGGTCTTAATAAAGCTGTTTGCTCTGTTGGGTAAACCAGTTCTCCACTTGAAATAGCAATATCAAACTCCAGATTACATTTCTCAGAGTCACAGAACAGATGAGGTTGAAGGGATCTCTGGAAGTCATCTGGTCCAAACCCCCTGATCGAGCAGGGTCATCTAGAGCCGATTGCCCAGGACCATGTCCAGAGAGTTTTTTGAATATTTCCGAGGATGAAGACTCTGCAGCCTCTCTGAGCAACCTCTGCCAGTGCTTGGTCACCCTCACAGTAAAAAAAAAGTGTTTTCTGATGTTCAGAGTCTTTGAGTTTGGGCTCATTGCCTCTGATCCTGTCACTGGGCACCACTGAGAAGAGCCTGGCTCTGTCTTCTTTGCACCCTCCCTTCAAGTTTTTATACACATTGATGAGATCCCCCTGAGCCTTCTCTTCTCCAGCCTGAACAGTCCCAGCACTCTCAGCCTTTCCTCATAGGAGAGATGCTCCAGTCCCTTTGTCACCTTCACGACCCTTCATTGGACTCTTTCCAGTATGTCCATGTCTCTCTTGTACTGGGCAGCCCAGAACTTCTCTAAAGGTAAGGCTGGGTCCATAGGACACTAAGGCAAAACCTTCTATAGTAAGTTACCCTAGGGAGCCAAGGGCCTGGATGCTATTAACATTTTATAGCTGCATTTTGGATCCTACGTCTCCTCAGGTTGTGTAGACTGCAGAAGGAAGGAGCTGTTCATAACATATGTTGAGGCTGATCCAAGCACAAGATGTGATTTACAAGAAAGCCAGAGAGAGCGGTAAAAGTATGATGACCAGAAATAGTAGTTGGACTGATCAGTACATATGGAGGTGATGTAAGTCCCAGCTGAGAGAGGGTACGTGAAATGTGAATAGAAGAAACGTCTTACAGAAGAAGAGAGGAAAACAGAGTGAAGAAGAAGAGAGAAAAACTCATAGGAAGGATACACTACACCGAAACAGATGGGCTCTGGACTGGAAAGGAAAAATCAGAAGAGAAATATTGAGGAGATGCAAGTTAAAAAAATCATTAAAGGAGTTCAGAGGTAAAGGGAAAGAAGGAAACAGGCCCATGTTTTGTTCCCATTCTCTTTTATACCATACTTTCTTTTCTTTACCTTAAATATACCACTCTTCTACTGGGGAGAGGGGTGGAGTGAAGAAATTGTTCTCGTCTATTCGTCCTTTTCCACCCCCATCCCCATTTCCTATTACTTTTCTTTGTGTGGATCTCTCCTCTTCTCTGTCTCCTCCCTGAAATAAACCACAGCAAACCAAAATGTTCACAGCAAGGGCTGCACGAAAACCCCTCAAGATGTGCACGCAGGTGGTAACCCCATCCTTCTTGACATTCCTCCTTCAACCCTCTGGCATTAGCAGCGGGATGGGCTCTTTCCTTACCTGACCAGCACGGCTGTCCCGTTGTCCTCAGCATCCACATATATCTTCTCCCAGGCACCACGGGCACTTTGCACCTCTGCTTCAGAGAACGACATGGTGGAGGAGATGGCTGCAATGCAGGACACAGAGGGAAGGAAAAGGATGGGAAGGTCCTGGCAGGGCGGTTCTGCTCCTGTTCTCTCCTTGGGGCTCTCTAAATACTGCCCCAGGGATTTAAGAGGTCTTGAATGGACTCTTTGTCTCCATTCCTCTCGGTCACATTTCTGCAGGCTTTAGGGCTGCCTAATCACTTTTAATCAGGAAAGAAACCAACCACATGAGGAGGGAGGACTAGCACTCTCGCTGTGGCGTCAGGTGCCAAAGCAAAGATCTTGCTGTCTGAGAAGAAAAGAGAAAAAAGGGGGTTTTCAGTGGGGAAGAAAAAGATCCGCTCTCTTCCCCTCTCACCTCTGCCAAGGCCAGTGCTTGGCTTCTCTTTCCTGAGAGCGCTGCTGTGCTGTGGGCACCGTGGTGCCCTGCCGTCCCCTCTTCCCAGCACTTCTTGCTCCTTCAGTCCAAAGATCCCATTTCCAGCTCTGGCAACTCTCTCCAGTCCTGCTTTTGTGCCATGGTCACTACTTTCCCCACAGCCCTCTGGTTTATCAGGGGCTCACCCCGTACTGCTCCCGGTCTTGGTACTGGGCAGGTGGGAGGCATCTCCAGCCTGGAATGACACCGTTGCAAGGATGGTGAGGGCAGCGTGGGCACAGCATCCCTGGCAAGCCACATAATTTTAACGCAGGAGATAAATGGGTGCAGGACACCCAGGCTGGAAGAATGGGCATTTTGCTATCCTAATCCTCCTGGCTTGCAGCTGGGATCTCTGTCCTACCCCTAAGCCCTACCTGCCTGGGAGGGAGAAAGAGAATGGGCAGGAGAAGGGCCAGTGCAAGGCTGCAGACAACATGTAGAGGCCCATTAGTGTCACGGTCACTTGGAACAGGAGGCAAAAAAAAATCTTGGATTATCCACGCGGCGCCTGGGCTTAACCTCTGGCAGGAATGTTCTGGTTAAGTCCAGGGCACGCACATGAAATAAGGGCTAAGGGGCTTGAGGAACTGCTGCTGCTGCTGCTGCTGGATGCCAAGCGCAGACAAAACCTCGTATTGTTTGGGATGGTTTAGAGAAGGGAAGGAATGGGAGCGAGGGAGAAATGTGCAGCATGGCAAGCAAAACCAGCTCCCAGTGCAGAAGAAAAGTGGTGGTTGCAACCTCACAGAAACCAATCAGTCTTGGTGGGGTTGTGTCCCACCACTGCTGAGGGATGCTTCAAATGAATTCACCAAAACTACCGCCCCTCTTCCCTCCCTCTCCCTTTTTACCACAGCAAACAAAGGGTGGTCTGATAGAAAGCTGCAAAGCCTTCTGCTTGCTCATCCCCAAATCCTCAGAAAAATGTCCCAGATTTCAGGAGAGACCCAAGGGGGCCACACATGCTGTGCTGCTGGGACCGCTGCCTCTTTGAAGGCAAACACAAACCAGGGGAACACCGGTCAGCTGAGCCCAGCTGCCAGCACAGGGACGCAGAGGAAGGAGCGAGGACGGCACCACAGGAGTTGGTGAGTCCCAGGCCTTGGGAGCCAAAACCTCCTGGGAGGAGCTTGGTGAGGAAAGCACCAAGTTTTTCAGCTGAGAGCAGAATGCACATCAGGTGCTTGTCATGGGTGGCCTGGGAGGAAGCGAGCTCCTGAAGGATCAACTTTAGCCAAAGGGAAAGGGGCTCAGGCAGGTCCAGAGCATGGAGGTAGAACTGTTTCTCCTTCATTACGTGAATGTGGACGATTACTTGCTTGCAACCTTCCCTTCTCTCTGTAGGTGTCATGTTCTCCTTGCAGATCCTGGTGCACACTGACTTGCTGTGGACGCTCCTCAGTGGGAGAAGATGGAGTGTGGTGGCAAGCTGGGCTCTCTGGCCTGAGGGGTGGTAGCAGTGCACATTGCTCAAGGGTAAGTCTTCCCTCTCAGCTTTCTTAGTCTTTTCTTCTTCGTCTCCCTTGTTTGCCCTTTGTTTCCTTCCCCTTTGGTTTTTGTTCGCAGCAGTTCACAAGCAAACCTCAGCTCCCCTAGGGGACTTCTCTGCTTTCCCCAACCTCTTCTGGGACACTGCAGTACCAAAGGTACTCATTCCCTCGATATATTGTCATATATCTGGTTGTGAGCCAAAAATACCTGGTTTGTGTTGGGAAATGTCAATCAATTTATTGCAAAGTAACAAAACAAACCAACACTTAGACACC